CTTAAAGAGGTGCAGCCTGGCACTCCAACAATTTACTTTTGCGGTGCTGCACAAGAAGGGCAAAAATCACGCTAATGCCGATTGTCTGAGCCGCATTCCTAGTGTTCATCTAGTTCTGCAAAAAAAAGTCCCCACAGAAAATTTTTTTTTTTCTTTTTTTTTGCAAACGATTTCGCGAAAAAAAAATTGGCGATTTTGCAATGTTCAGGTTTATGACTGCACTTAAATTTGTCAAGAAAGTGCGTTGCATTATTCTGCTCCTAATCATTTCAAGGGGTCTGGCCTTCTTGAGTTGTGGCGGCAGGTTGCTACCGATGTCGTTTCTGCCGCTCGTCTCCCAGGTCATTTCAGCACATCACCTTGCTGCGATCGTACCCGAGCTGCAGACTGCCCAATTATCGTGGACCTTTCCGGCTGCCTTCTCCGTTAAACTCCCCGGTGCTGCCACTCCGGAGTTTCGGAAGCACAGTGGCGTCTTGCGCTTCAGCACCCTCGCCCGAGAACAGAGCGACGTCCGCACTTCATTACCCTGGCCCGAGCGACCCTTCCAAGACCTGGCGACTGTGGCCTTCTACCCTGGTCACTTGCCAAGACTCGCAAGCGTACTTCTATGAAGTCGTCGTCTACAAAGGCCTTCAGCATGCTACATGCCTGTCTCCTACTCCTCAAGAACGCACGGACTACGTCGAGGTGAAACGGCCGCAAGTCGGCTCTCGCCATTTTGGATGCCTCGACAGCTTCTACGTCTCCAGTTACTCAAGAGGCGTCAGCCTGTTGACCAACTTCCAAACTGGGTAGCATTGGCCGAACTGTAACAATTACGGTGCTGGGCTACGCTATGCGTTTTCTCGGCTTCCTGATAAGATTAGTTGGAGCGGCGCGGGGTTGCATTACTTTCTTTGTTTTCGGTCCTGATTGAATGCAGAATCCTTAAAAGCCAGTTTGATTTTATAATAAAGATACATCGTCTTCCACCAGCAGAAAGAGTGTGTCTGTTCCATCAGCAGCCGTTCCGTCGTCGAACAACCAGAAACGTAATAGTATCCAAGCATCCGTTTTGTTGCAGTGTTGGGTTTTCGTCCACCAAGTTTAATCAGTTCCTTAACCTGGAAATTTCAAAGACACTATACTAATTGGGTGTAGCAATTCGGCAGAACACAGCCTAAGTGAGGTCCTTTCTGAGTATGAGAGCAATTCTCTACAGCGTCTATTTTAATAATACAAGACAGAAGTGACCTGTAGTTATCATTACCTTCTCCTCAACCTTTTCATCATGCAAACTGCAAGCAGAAGCTTCGGAGCTTGATGTCCTCCAACTTTAAGACTTCCTTTATTTTTGGTAATTTCTGTCGATTTAATGATCCTCAGAAGTCTTCACAAAACCAATCTTTCTTGAAATAATTTAGTCCTTAATCCTTGGGAAGAAACATGCTGAAGAAGCGCTAGCTAAGTTGTGTATTTCACACACACATTCGGCATGCACAACAGCTACTGTCCAACAAGTATCAGCCCGAGTCTATGTTATGCAAATGCGGACGCATAAGATGAGCCTCCTCAGATGCACTCAGATCTGCCTCGAGGTTGCTGAGACCATCGGCTGCTTTAAAGGGCAACTCCACTCCATTTTTCCGATTTTCGGGTTATGATCTGTTTAGTCGAAGTCGGCGACACTGAATCACGAGATATAATTTATTTTTCGATAGTGTGTATAGTTTTGTAGATATCGCGTATCCAATTTTCCTTCCGGTGGCACTGCGAAACCGAAACTACCGGCCGGAGCATTCTGGCAACACTGATAGCCAGCTGCGCGTTTACGGCGTGACGTCGATCTGGTCCTGCGCGCCTGAGAGCGGGCGCAGCAACACAGCCGGCTCAGTTTCACGTGGAGCTTCAAAACAGAAGGTAAGTTGCACATTTTCTTCTTTACCGCTGTACTTTGTAAATTTGTAAAGCGTTAGTGTGTATTCATAAATTTGTCGACCGAAAAGCGAATCGGACTGCTATAGATAATTTGACGCGGTCAGCGCCGACGCAGCGCGTCTGTATTTATTTGCTCACATGGCAAGACAAAAACAAATAATGAGACAGTTGGAATCCACAAGCGGTGTAGGTTGTTAAAGCTAAGGTGCTTTTATATGTAAGCTAGTTAGAGCTGCCGCGACCTGCGACTGTTTGACATCATCCGCGTTTCTCGTACTTCCAAGACCTCTTCGTAGCTGGCGATTGCAAATATGTCATCCCGGCTGGTGCTCCATCCGTGCAAGCCCGCACATTATGCGCGCGAAGGCAACTTTGCCACTTTGCCAGGCTTGCGATTGCACGGGCTTGCCACCACGAGCTGTTTCATACTTAGCGTGCAACGGTGTCAAAGCTATTGGCGCGAGCGCGTGGCTTCATCCAATTGTTTTGTTCACGCGAGAACGCGCGCAAATGATCAACGAGATCAAGCCCCATGCTCGCGTGAGTAGCTTTGACAGCGTTGAACGCCAAGTATGAAACAGAGTTTATAGATGCCTTGCTTGCAAATGTGTATAGCGCGGTCGGCTCGAGTGTCATGCACCGTTCATCCTCGTTCCCAGCTCCGGCGAAAAAAAAATTAGACCTAGACCATAAAAAGCATGACGATAGTAGCTAACGTATTCAGGCGATAGCACAGCGCACAAAACAATTTGTTTTGATTCTAACTCACAATCTCTGGTTACACCACCTTTGATTGCGTGATGGAAGCTTACGTGAACGCAGCGTACCACTTACCCGTGTTCAGCATGTTATTGAAAATGGAAATTATGGTCTTTTTAAATTTCCCGCATGATTGCCGTCATATAATCGGACAAATGTGGTTGCGTGTTCTCTAGTTTGCTTTCATTTCGTTGTTTTTAGTTGAGAGTCAAGGCCTGCCCGGTGCTGCGTTTCCTCTTCCTCGTAACTACAAACCAGCCCAGTTCACGACTTTATTGCACTTTAAGAGTACTGAATCTTCTACTTCATGTAGTCATTGATGTTTGATCAGCATCAGTGTGCTTAGGGGGTGCTCGCACATTTTTAAACACATTGGGCTTGTACCTTTTTACAGAAGCAATGTCATCTTCCAGCGACGATAGCGAAGAGGTTACATCGTGTCTCGATCCTTTCGCATACGACCCACTGCCGCCTTCGAACGTGCTTTGCATGGAGAGTGAATCGACTCAGGAAACAGAAAACCTAGAGGGAGACTGGTGAGATTTATTTACAACATATCAGCATAGCCTGCATTTTATACAAAACATAGAAAGCCATCCGACTGTCCTTTTTCTTGATCGGTTGCAGGTGCACTTGTGCCAACTGCAATGAAGGGGCCGATAGACTTTGTTGTCGCGGCGTGGCTGCAGTGGTGAAAGTCAGTCCAACAACCTGCATTACGGAGCATCACTTGTTTCACCTCGTATGTCTCAATAGAGAGCTACTGGACATAGCCTACCACGAAATCCGAATGTACACACCTTCCTACCTTGAGCAAGCGCATGGAGACAGAAACAGGTAAAATGCTGAAAACTGAGAGAAGTTAATGGTTCATCTAAAGTTACTCGACTGTTTGTGTCTGGATTCCCCTAACCACTCAGCTAGATCCCAAACCTAATAGTGGCTTTCACTTTTTTTTTTTTTACCTCGCTATGTATGCACCCCTGCTCATATCTCTGCTGTTTTTCCACAACACAGGACATACAGGTTCGTAGCCTACAGGAAATTCGTATGGTGGATATGGAGGAGGCTTGGGAGGTTCAACCGGGTGAGACTTCCCTGCTGTGTGGTGGCCATGATTAGAAAACACTTCCCTTCGGAGACTTACACAGGTTTCCAGTATTCCTAGTGCAGGAACCTTGAAACATGGGCCCTGATGGCAGCTTCTTTCTCTGGCCTTTGGGCTCCGCTGCACAAGGATTCCCGACGAGGACGTCCCTCCATGGCCACATTCGTGGGCTGTTCAGCTAACGCCAAGCTGCACTCAAGAAGTGTTTTCACGTAGCCTAGAAAGAAACCCATGATCACGAAATAAATTCATGTTGTCACAGCACTGTAGTGAACATTTTCTGTTACCGTAAGAGGGTGCTTCAATTACAGGACGGAGGACCCACTCCCCCTTCCTTGACTTAGGGAACCTCAGGCTGAATCGGAGCTTCCCTTCACGGGTTCGTGCTTGCTTGCGGTCAGCATTGGCATTGTAATGTAGGATTGCCATGCAGGTCCTACAAAATATTCATGTATAAAAAATGAGACGTTTATGCTTTTCTGTAATGCAAAATTAAAGCGCAGCTCTTGACCTGTTCTGGTTTTGCGATATGTGGTAAAGAATTTGATTTTATCTTTTTTGTTACGCCTATAAATGTTGCATAATTACGCACCAGGTAATTAAAATAACTACTTGCATGATCTCAAGATCACGTAAGGTTACATGATTGCGTAACTTTACGTGGTTATGTAGAGTTACATTACCGCAAACTGCTCCTTTATGTAACCTGAAGTAACCACGCGAGGTTACGTGGTCGCTTAACATAATTGCATAATCGCATAAAGTCATTGTCCCATTATTTTATGTGAATACGCAAGGTTACGGATCATGTAATCACCTCAGGTTTTGTGACCTTACATAGTTACATGATCACATAAAGTTAAATTATAATGTGATTACGTGACCTTCCTCATCCATAGTCTCGCCCTTTGCACACTCCCCTCCTCCGGTTATTCCGACGTCGCAAAATTCGGGAACGGGTGCCTAAGATCTGTGCTCCAAAACATTAAACCAGTTATAGCAGCAGTAGCACTTACCGTGCAACCATACCATCGTAGCCAAAATGGGAGGACTTAGGTGTAAAGTGGATAAGCAGGCTATGAAATGCCTCAAGCTTATAAGTCTGGCTGCCGCCAGAGAGCCTTGGAATATCCTTCAACAAGTGGCGGGCCATCACAATTTTGTGGAGCGCCACGTATGGTTCCGTCCCTGACAAAAAAGAAAAATTGCAAATAATTATGCTATCTATGTGAAAAGGTAGTTGATGAAGTCAAGTCCAAATTATATATCAGTTATTGCACCACGGTTGGGTCAGACTAGGGAGAAAAAGCGCTGCAAAACTGCAGGAAAGATTATACAGGGTGCGGCCATAAAAACTTTCCCATTTGGAATGCCTACCAAAAGTGATTTTCAAATGTACACACCTGAACAAAACCAAAACGTCATTTCGCCCAAAGTTCTACGATTATCCTTTTCGGACAACTCGGGAGTAGTAATAATAGAACAAAAATGACAGCAGTGCATTTCCTATGGCCTATACAGGTTGCTTTCCGTAAGAACACTGGTTTGCGACCTGCTCTCCCAGGTGGCCCACTAAACACAAGAATGTTTTGTTTTCGTTTGTTAATTAATTATTTTGATCGTTGCCAGTCTATCCAGTCGTTCTTGGTGTTTTTGCATTGAGTAGGCAACTTAAAAGAAGGGTCGGGAATGAGCGTGCAGGTGGAAAACGACTGGTATAGGCCATTAAAAATGCACTGCTGCAGTTTTTCTTCCATTTTTAACAATTTACTGCTCCCGAGTTGATCTCTAAAAATACAGATATAAAACATTGAGCGGAATGGTATTTGTGTCCCCAGTCATAGGTGGGTACCGTAAAATCCCCGAGAGATAGCCCACCTAACATCAAGAGCAAATCGGGTGAAAATATAGAGTGGGCTAACCAGGCAAAGAAACAGCTACGAGCGAAAAGTGAGTGCCCAATCCTGTTGCGCTGCCGCTCCAAGTGTCTATGTTAGTGCCATTCAGTGCAACCGCTTTTATATCTTCAGCGAGAGCGCGCCACATGTGCCTCTACCGTCGTCTAGATCAGTGTATGCCAGTGAAGATTTTGACTTTCCAAGAGGGCTATGCATGTTTCTTTGAAGGCGCACATTCAGTGTTTTGGGGTGGCATGGGATAAACCTCTCCTGCATCACACTTTCTATTTGTTGCTCAGCTTCTCTCATTAATTTATTCAAACTATCTCAAAAGTTGATTGGGCGATGCATTTTGCTGTAATTTTGACGATGAGACACTATTCAATGGTTCCAAAGGTGATGCGGTGGATTGACCCAAGTTTTAATGCGATTGATGAAGCAAGCAAAGAAGCAAGGGTAGTCGACAAGCCTCTATGGGAGCTCAGCAAAGCAATCAAATTTGAAGGTGTTGTAAAAGTGTTTGCTGAACTTGCCTTCCTGCAGCCACCACCGGTCACCAATGTCACCATGAGAGCAGGCAGGGTAGAGGGGGGTTTGGTGCAGATGAATGTTGGCCACGTGCCGCATGAGGGAGCACCATTTCGCAAGGATCAAGTCCCCATTATCCCCACTTGTCTGTGCACACCAATACACATGCGACCGAATCGACTTCACCCAGGAAAGAAGAATCTTATTTCTTCCCTTGCCTGCTGCAGTCACCTTGCTTATGACACCTGGAAAAGACACGTTATGCGGCTTCCAGTACAGAGGTACGGCAATTTAAGAGGGCAAGGACAGAATAGAGAGAGCGATATCAAAGCGGGAAGACAGGCGTGGATGGTATTAGACTGCGAAAATTTTGCTTTCATTTTTTCGTGAATCGGCCTAACTACACTAAATGAGAAGCGTTGGCGCAAAACTACATGTGCTTACTAGGCCGTATGCCGTGGGGCTGTCAGAAATATTTAACAAATTTGTGCATGCCGGGACTGAAATGCTGTGCAAAGCTTGAAAAGAAGATGGTGTAGCTTTTTGTTCAACTTAGTCACAAAGTATTTTGATGAAGAGTACTGTGCAGCTCTGTCTATATCTATTTAACCAAGAAACATTTAATCTTGTTTCTACTAGTAATTGCAGTCATGCCTGCACCAATAATGCCGAGCTAGACATGGCATCTGCCTGCCCTTTGTTTCAAAAATCACTTCCAGTATTGCCTTGCCTTTTGCAAGATGCCATGCGTCGAAGCGGTGCTTGGTGTTGGGGTAGTCAGTCGTCATCATGGCCTTGACGCCTATGTGGCGGTCCGTAATTAGCGTTCCAACGATCAGTCCCTCGTTGAGCAAATTGTCTAGGCCGCGCCTCAGACCTTCCTTCTCCATGTGGGAGCTGGACTTCACTTCGGTCGACTGAAATGCAAATCAAATGTTTCAATGACTACGATATCTACGAAAATTATGTCTTGAATGCTTACTTTAAATGAATAAAGCTTATTTTGCTTCTAACCTCCTTTAGACGGGTATTGTTAATATGTGGGTAATTTAAAGTGGGTCAGCTTTATGGATATCTAAAAAAATAGAAGCGTCAAACTATCATGATCTTTTAATACAGAAACTATGATTTCCTCAACTATATATTTGGTTTTTGAATTCACTACATGCAGCTTCCATCTATCCAACTACCATACATGAATGCAGATATTTAGTCTTCAATCTTTACTACATTTTTATCTTTTAAAAGTGAGTCTTTTTTAAATGTTTATTCTATCAATGCTTAGGTAACATTTCCAGTTTGTAATATGTACTGAATACATACATCCTTAGAGTTTGCAAACAAATTCAAAGCACCAGTTCTGCAGAGCGGAGGTGAGTCCCCTTTGAAACGTCAAGAGCATACGTGCACTGAAGCTAAGGGAAACAATGCCTGCCAAGCTTGCAGCATAAATTAATTTGAGTACAATGTAAACAGCCGAAGGGGCCGAGCGTTATAATGCAAGAATTGACGCAAAGATTTGTCTCAATGTCTGACCGCTAATGAGAAAGAAAGGGAGGAACAAAAGGAGAGCGCAAGCTTTAGTGGCTGTGAAAGCAACAGTTAAATTAATTTGGGAGGCAGCTGCAACAAGATATTTGTGATAACCTGAAAGATTAAAAAAACACCTATGCCCTACCTGGACCAGCTCAAAATGAATTATGCGCTTGAGGTTCATCTCCATCAGGCTGTACGTCCCGTACTTCGCGGAATAGCCAGGGGAGTCCGCCCGTCCGTCCCCAGCCAGGCACAGCGTTTTGCCCTGCAGCCCCTGAACAAGCTGCGCCTGCTCTGCTTTCCAGACCTGCAGAATATGGAGTATTCATGTTATGGTGTTACCACCAGGTAACAATTGGAGCACTATAGCACAGTTCTTACTTTCAATGCTGCAGGGAACAGGAAGGCGCTTTGAATCCTGAAGTACTGCGACTTTTGAACAGTGGCGATTCCGATCAGGCTCAGGAGGCGCAAAACGCACGTTGGACTTGCGCCCGAGAACGTGATGGCCCCACAGAGCAGGAGGGCCAGCAGTGGCCTGCTCCTCAATCTGGGCTGGCTCTCCCAAATGAACTTGTGTCCTTGCACACAAGTGACCACAGCCCGAAGAAGGGGGCCCTGTCGACTTATCTTCGCCGTGGTAGGACAAAGGCACTGAAAGCAGACTGCGAGCAGCTGCAGCAATCTGGACAGTGGCACTATGAACTTGGGCTCCGCAACAGGGTCTGCGGCCTCCCCAGTTATGTTGAGTTCTTCTGACCTGCAATGCAGCCCACAAGGATGCAATCTTTAACACTACAAGGAAGTGATATTTTGAGCTAATCAGCAATCATTTTCCCTCTCCAAAAAAATGTAAAAAACTAAAAAATGGTAAGCTTTATCACAATTGTGCTCCATCACAAATTGCAGCACGAAATTAGTGGAAGACTAATTCCTAGGTCTTATATAGGTTGATTTGTACACGTCACATTGTAGTAATGTAGGGGTGCGCTAATACGGAACAGTAGTAATCTAATTGAATACCTAATGAAGTAAAAAAAAAATAGAAAAAAGGCACCTGCTGTACATCACCTGTGAATGAATTGACCATCGGCCTGTAGGGATGTTGCAGGTTGTACAGAACAGCCTTTCGCATTCTTTCCTAACTGTGTAGGCTTCAAAGCACACTTCACCAATGTGTGAGGTGTACCGCATTTACTCGAATAATAGCCGCACTATTTTCCTTGCGTCTACTTTCCCACAAAACAAGTATACAGCCAATCATTGCGTTGCGCATAAATAACATAGCGAATAACCAGATCGAGAACATGATGGTCCATACAAATGCAATCTTCACAGATGGTATATTCGCACGAAGACGTCATCTCTGTCGTGTAAACAGCTGTAATCATGATGTCGATCATGGTGATCGGCAATCTACGTGCTCCGCGGAAAAGCGAACCCTCAGGTTTTCTTCATAAAGAGTGCGGCTATTACTCGAGTAAATACGGTACATTACAACAATGTTTCGATTTGAAACAGAAAGGCACTTGCTTGTGAAAGAAATGCAGTATGATGGAGTGCTGTATACTATAACCCCCCTCAATTCATGTACAAGGGTGGCGCAAACAAAGAGGCGTTTCGTTGACTCGCAATTTGGGTGTGTGCCCATTACGAGTAAATCTGGGTACTTTCAGGGCTGATGCATTCAGAATCTTCTTTGTTTTTTTTTCTACTCTATGCACTATATCGTTGTAGAACGGTAGAACCAAAATGTATTTTGCATGTCTGGAATCACTAGAATGGAAACAGAGGACACATCTTTCGTTGGATCTGTCCTGGCCATGCATCTTTTGCGCAATATGTGTAATATTCGAGTAACCGAACAGTAGAAATTCACTCCATAAATGGAATTATTCAACGGCTTACTATACGATTTGGGTCCGGAATATTTGAGTATTTGCACACCCCTAGTAACCACCCAGCAACTACACACTACGTTGCCTGTGTCTACGTGGAAATTGAAACCTGTTACTCTGTGCCTACATGGCAAGTCTCTCTTGTGCTACAAGGCTCAGTAGACGGAGCAGACATAGATGGAGCTGATCCAGTTTTTCACAAAAAAAATATTCAGAATTCTAAATGGAACAAGTGCATGACTGTAAGGTAACAGATACTTTTCTTCTGAAAAAGCACAGAAATTGAGGTAAAGTTAATGCAGCCTATAATAGTACTAACACAATATACTACCAGGACATACTCATCAGCAGAGTCCTCTCCCGAGCTGTCGGTGTCGCCCTCGTCTGGAGAGTACGTCGGGTCTTGTCTGTCATCCTCGGAGATGTCGTCCTCGGAATCACTCTCCGAGTCGGAACCCTCTTCTTCCAGGCTAGGGGGGCTTCGGTTACCAGGCACTGGAGGTGGTTCCTTGCCCAGCTTGCCACAGACAATGTTGACTGCATGGAAAGGACCCCATTTAGGAGCAGAAATCTTTGAGGACGTGCACCTACAGCTACGTCGATAAAGATTGGAATGGTACTGTGACCATATGCCTCGACTTATCAGTGGCTGCTTTTTACACAGTACTAATGCTGGACCCAAGAAAGCTAAAAACCAATGCTTTGTGGCATGAAATGTTGCCAGCTAGGACAATATTAGAAGGGAGGTCTTGTTTGGTTTTGACAAAACGGCCTGTAAAATCACTGGAATCACCATTCATGAACAATGATGCTGCCACATCGAGCATAGATGGCATTCACTATCCTTGTGTATGCAGCTGTTTCCGGACAAATTCAAAGCTGTTATTTGTACAACTAAAAGACGTTGAAAGCAAGCTATTAGTGAAAGATTACAACATACGATTGACATACTTCTGGTTATTACGCCACAACCTGACAATTAAAAAAACCTGCAGCTGAAATTTCACAAGGGCTTTTTCAGTTATAAGAATAAATAATACTAAAGAAACAGTAGTCTACCTTGCCTCCGAGAGTAGGTGTAAGCACGAAATGCGTTGCACGGGTGCAGACGGCAGTGTTACCTGCATACTAGTGAGCACACCACCCGGGCGCATCCCTATAGATTGTTTTACTGAAAGGGGATGAGAGAGAAAAGGGGAAAGGGCTACCGGCACTTTCCTCCCATGGGTAGTTATAGCCGCGTCCCACTAAAGCGACAAACAGCGACAAACGACAGCGACACATGACAACAAGTGACAGACGACACCAACAGGTGGCTGTTTGTCGGAGTCCACCGTCCCACCTGGCGGGCACGACACAGAACACAGGGGCAACGAAACTTGTTTCCTAGTGGGACGAGTTGCCAAAAAAACACTTCAAAAGGCACAGACAAACAGAGTCTGGCGACGCAGTTTTCGTGTTTTGCTCTTTGGGCGTAAAATGCGCCGACAAACACAGGGAAAGTGGAGACGATTACTTTATTTCTTGATTAAAGTTTCCACTTTTCTCCATTTGCCGTTGACGACTTTCCGCAAACAGTCGCGAAAATCGACACCAATCTTTTCCCAAACTAGAATTCCCGAATTGTTCCTTTTTTTTTTTTTTGTCGTTCGAGACATTCTAGGCGAGCTCCACGGAATTTCACTCCGATTTTGAGGATGTTCATAACTTCACATTCGAATGATCGAGGGCAGGTGTTTTCTGGGGGACAATACGGCATCCCGATTTTTACAGAGCGTGATGACAAGTCTCGTGTGCCGGAATGGCTTGCCGCGGAACGTTGTGTCCTACTTTGTGGTGAGCGGTCTTGCTTTGGTCAGTCCTCGAGCATGGGTGTATCCATCCTGATGCAGGGCGTAGACCTCAGTGTCTTGAAGCACCACCTCGCGCACCAAGTTTTTGTGAGCGAAACCAGCCATGAATGCTGCTAAAGTTGAAGCCGGGGCGAGTTAATATGACATACTTAAAAGGTTAAAACAGCGCAAAAGATGACGGACAGGGTAAAGAAGGACACGGACAGAGCGCTGCTCTGTCCGTGTCCTTCTTTACCCTGTCCGTCGTCTTTTGTGCTGTTTTAACCAAAACCAGCAACAGCAAATTCTCTTTCGCAACACGACCGCCAGCAAACAAGCCACGCCCACGACCACTACGAGCAATCGAGGAACCGGAACTGCAGGAACGATCAGTGGCCGCCAAGGACTTCTCTGAAGGTCGAGCAGCGGAGTGAGCCATGGAAGGAACAGGAGGAAGGGTATAGGGATGGGAAGAGAGGCAGGTACATGCGGACGAGGAGGATAAGTTTGTCTCCGAAAGAGGTTCCTCGGTGGAACTGCTAGCTGCACTTCAAGTCAAACGACAGGCAAGAACTCATCCGTCGTCGATTGTTTGTCGGCGCATGTCACGGGTGTTGGTTGCTACAGCAAGACAGCATCAGCGTCATGAAACTTTGTGGTGTCGCCGGACAAAAATCGGTGTTTGTCGCTCTAGTGGGACGAGGCTATTAGGAGATCTGAAAGACACGGATGAGTCGCCTCGGCACCTTTGGATCCACATAATGCTCGGAGCACACTTGGTTCGTTCGCAGTTTTCTTCCTGTTTCTAATTCTTGAGATTAAATTAGAGCCACTGGATTCGATGACAACAATCCACCCATCATGGGAAGACCATGTGCTTGGTCGTAGAGTGCACTAGCAACAACCGAAAGCGTAGAGTACTATCGGAGGCTTCAGTAACCCGAGTTACAGAAGATGTGCTTCAGTAACCCGAAAAAAGCTTTTGACCAACATCATCCTCTCGGGTGTCTTGCAACATTCGTGAAAGAAACGGGCGCCAAATTCATTGCTCTACCATCAGTCAACATGAGATATGCCCACAAGGTGGGAACAAGTTTCTTTGTAAGAATCGCTATTTCAGCTTGGAACTTCTTGGGATCTACTCTTTACAGGTTGCTCATTCTCCTTAGCAGTTTTATATTTATTGGTGTTCCTGAATCGTGATCTCTGACGTGACTGCAAAAAAACCATTAAATTGTTTACCATCACAATGCCACTGTATTCATCTTATTTTGGGAACGACTGCACATCAAAGGTGGAACTAAACATCAATGTCCAATTTCAAAGCAAGAATCGCTTGCAATGGGCCTACTTCAACACAGCTGTTTTCGGTTCTTGAGAAGAGGCACACCCATAGGCACGGTAACCTAATTAACTTTTATAAAAATCTGAAAACCGGAGCCATCTTCAATCGTTTTTCAGCACTGCTTTTGTTTTGTGCATCCCTATTCATATCTTATTTTATTGTTTTGGATGACCTCTAAACGACAAATACATTCTCGACGCCTACAACCGTGAAAAGCCTCAAGGGAATCGCAAGTTCATTCGCTGCGTCAAGGAATCTTTTGGGCATTCATACTTTCAATTTCTATCACTGGCATGTTCGCAGCCAAGGTCCCTGCTGCTGTTCCTCAAATAGTCGCACTTGCACACGCCATAATCCAAAGCAAAAAGTTTGCAGAGGGTTCAAAAACGCGAATCGCAGCACGTAACACGCACAACGCAGCCTAGAGCATATATTTAGCGCTCTAAAGCACCACCAATGTACACAATGCACCAGGGGTGCACAAAGGAATGCTTTCCCTGCTTCATCTAACCGCTCAGCGTGACCACAGAGCATCGTGCTCACCAGACGGCGAGCATGAAGGTTTATTCGGCACCCTCAGTGTTTATCACAAACATTACCAGGCTTGGCCATTGAAGGTGTCTTCAACGTCTAAGTCATTATTTATGTCAAGCACATCCTCGACGTCCAAAACGTCGTCCATGTTCAAGCATCATTACCGACGTCCAGACGTCGAAGACACTTTTTTTACGTTAAACATGTTAATCATTGCTTCGTCGTCTAACATGTTAAACTTCGAAGACAACAACTTTGAAGACGGCGTCGACGCTGAAATGTCTTCCACATCAAAAGACATCTTGGACGTCAACAATGACGACGATGACGCAGACGACGTCTTGAACATCTGTATGCTCTTAGCATTGCTGCCGACAGAATACAGACAATACTTACGTTGTGCCAACGCACAGAGCCCAATTACAGTCAGTAAACACACAATTTCTGAGCAGATTTCAATGAGGTTCTGGATAAATTTAAAAAAGTCTCGGGATAGATTTTGAAAGGTTTTGGAGGTTTGCCAAGAACGCGAGCTAAACTACAGATTCAGCTCAAAAGAATGCCTAGCCCGTATGCTCATTTCAGACATCATGGAATGCACTCAATCATAACTAAAATGTCGAGGCCCTAGCAAGAGTCTTGATGTCACGAGCCTGAGGTTTCCTTGTGCTTGCCTAATACAATCATGTTATGAACCAAGCATATGTTTTGGCGCAAGCGGAGAAATACATAGGGCGAAAGCTGCTTTCCTTGACATACCAGGGACAGAATTCGAAGTCTCTGTCGAAGTGTCGACCAGGTCGGGCATTGTCTGCGACGACTTGTCGGAGCAGTTGACTTGTGATGGTTGTATGGCTGTACACTTGTGGCAATGCACTACAGAGACCACCACTGCTCTGCCACAGCAGATCGCTGTTGGCATCTGTGTTCCTGTAATTTTAACATTGGAACAGTGAACATCTCATGAGCAATTGCAAGGTCTTTGAAGTCTACATCTTTGAAGGTGATGGGAAAATCTTTGGCTCACATAAGGCTGTTTGAGCATCACCTCCCAGGCTGTGTTTTGCTAACTCATACGATAGCTAAATGATTGTGTTCAAATGAGAACACTACAATTAATTACTCCAGTCTTTTTTGTTTTGTTTGAGGGGGGGGGGGGGGGTTCTATTCTACATAAAACGGAATTGCACTAAACCGAAAGGGCTACCTCTAATGATACAGGCAAACCTATCACTGAACGAAGACGGGTTTCACATTCAATGAAATCGTTATCGCGAAGGGACACTCTGCAATGTAAAAGCAACTTTCTTAGATAAGAACGCCTTCCTAAATATTCGCCTTGCATATCTGTGCTCAATTGTAGCATACTCCACAATTTTTTTTTTTTTTGACCGGGGGCAGGATCTTATTAAAACGAGACTTAGACATTTAGCCAAATGTCTCAACAAAACAAAATATGAGAGAGAGAGAGAGAGAGAGAGAAAAAAAAAAAAACACCCACAGTGGGGATTGAACCAGTCTACTGCGCGTGAGGCAGACGCGTTACCACTGTGCTACGCCACAGCTTCGAAGTAGGTTTTATACAAGAACCAAATCAAAAAGTTCTGCACGGAACACTCTACGATCGAGGTGCACGCCGTTGTGCGTATAGCTTTAGTCATTCAGGAATCCTTCGTACGCTTCGTACCCATGTCGCTACATGTTGCGTCGACGCTGGTTGCGACGCTGGCTTCAACGGTGTCGGGCCCAGCGACGTCCGTCGTGCTGCCCAGCTCCACGACTTCGGCTTCGGCAGCTTCTGGGGTGGAGGTACTCCCGGGAGAGGTGCAAGCCGCGGCGCTCAGCCCGGCAGCGATTCCTTCGTCCACGTCCATCGCGCTGTCGAGCTCCATGACACCGCCTTCGGCAGCTTCTGCGGTAGAGGCGTCTCCCGGTGGGGCGCTCGCCCGGGCAGCAAATGCGTCGCCGTCATCGGCAGCCTCTGGCGTAGAGCAGGCATCCGCCGGTGGGGCGCAAGCCGCAGCGCTCGGTCCGGCAGCTAGGGCTTCGTTCACAATCTGTTACGAAAAAACGAAAACGACAGAAATTAGTCAATGCACATAGTCACTCTACATTGTACGCGCGGTAACGATCGTACCTCGATTCGCTGCCGTTTGTAGTAGGCCGCTCGTGCTGGGGCAGCCGGTGGACGGTACGCAAATAGCGAGGGCACCGCATCCTTCTTCAAAGACGCGTGTTTCGTTGAGAAACCCGCGGCAGACAGCAGCCGCAGATCCCGCGCGTAGCTGTCTGGCGCGAAGTGCTCGGAGCAGAGCTTCGCGTTGGAGCTCGGAGTCCAAGGTCTTCCGAAGTCTGTCCGGCGAACGGCATCGACCCACACCTTGCGCCTCTTCTGATCTCTCGGAAACTGGTGGTACTGCAGCTCCGGGTTTCGCACCGAATTGTTGCTGCAACCCACAGCACTGCAAGTCGTGCTGGGCATTGCCCAGCGCAAGTCCGGCGAGTCTCTCCGGCTCTAAGACACACGCGAGCGAGCAACACCACTTCGTTCTCTTCCGCGCGGTTGCGGAAGCTATACTGGAGTTAAATTAACTTCAAGGAACACAAATAAAAATAGGACAGCACAGGATAACCCGGTAAACACCTCTTGCCGTCTACAGAATCGAAGAACACCACGGGAAACGAAGCGTCTCCGTAGTCCGTAAGAGAGCGTAGGACTAGACCTACGTCACTGCGCAGTGTTGCTTCACTAGCTCACCCGGTCCAGCGTTGCTCACCCGCTGTCGGGCCGCTAACCCAGCTCGTAGAAGGTTTTTAATATTGCTTTTAATCGAGAATGGGGAGTCGGTTTGACGCGATATTTTGGGTGTGAACCTATTTTGACTCCCTAAAGCGATAGCAATCATTTTTATAGGGTCGACATTTTGAGTGGAGTTGCCCTTTAAATGGTTACGGTACAACTGGAGCGGCGGGTAAAACAGCAGGCTCGCTGGACACGGTGAGAGCGTCAAGCGTGCTTGCAACTTGCTGTAAGCTGAGTCTTATAACATTGAGTAGCCTTAAAGGGGCACTCAAGTGGATTCTGAGATCGTCTATTTATTGTCATAACATAATCTACGGGCTCTAAGCATCCTAAAAATCCTAAAATTACATTCAAGGGCAGCCGATTTCTTTATTAAAAATCCAATCAAAGATCCGTGTTCTGCGCCTAGGCGCACGCCGTCAGGGGCACTGTCGGACGGGAAGGCAGCAGGGAAGGGCGTGCGCCAGCAATCACGAGTCCCGGCGGACTGATTTTGAGATGCGCGCGTATTCGGCGGACTGATTTTGAAATGTGCGCGTATTCGGCGGACTGATTTTTCCGAATGTACGCGTATTGGACGGACTCATTTTAAAAACGTTCATCAAATGTAGTGTCGTCGTATGGAAATTCTTCGGCGGACGGCAGATATCAGGTTCATCCCGTACGACGCCGCATCTACGCGCGACGCCGAGGCCTCGAACGCGCCGCAAACGTAGACGACGGCATTCCACAGCGCTGCGAAGCCAGCGAAGCGCCTTCGGCATCGACACCGGACTCCGGATGCAAAAGAGAAGAACGCACTCGGCACTCGGCGACGGCACCCAGCGGCTCCCAACACAGACTGATAGGTGATACGCTCTTTATTGTAAAACTCACATGTATAGTTGATGGCAGTTTTCTGTTTTAAGGTGCCAATGCGGTTGCTGCATACCGATGGGGATCGTCGTCGGGTTGTCTGCCGTCCGATGTACCCTGCCGCCGTACGCAAGCACCAGGGCCGGCGCGCTACGTGACGAGCCACTTGGATTTCGATTCGCTGTGCCTCAGCCCGGGTGTGCTACGACTCACTTTACACAAAAGACGCCACTATGGGCAGAAGAAAATGCGGGGCGACGAGGAACAAGTGAGTAGGACTTACCGATCGTGAAACTTGCGATCGGCGTTGACACCGTTCCAATCATCGGCGCCCGTTTTCTTGCCGCTTGTCCGCACTTAGCGATCAATTTTTTTTTTTTATGTTTGCTTCACGTGTCTGTTTTTTGTCTTGTTTGCCGTGCGTTATTCTTAGCAGCCGTCACGGGCGAAACCGGCGGCCAGCGGCAGCGCGAGCCCCGAGGGGCTCGACAACCGCAGTCTGTCGCCGACTTCGTGGCGGTGCTGGGCGTCTACGCAAGAGCGTCCAGCGCCTCGGACGCGTTGCGCCTCGGATGCCTACGTGCTGAAGCGGATCTTCCCCCTTGCCTTGCTGGCGAGTGCGAGACGATGGTGGGTGTTGCAGATTCTAATTGACTGCACCTCGACCGGAAAGGGCTATACCTTGCTATGCGCACGACGCGAAACGTTTTGGTTCTCGTACAAAACTAACTGTCAAAACAAGATTTCCGAAGCTGTAAAGTAGCATAGTGGTAACGCGGCTACCTGGTACGCAGCAGACCAGGGTTCAAACCCCTTGTGGGTTTACCTTTTTTTTTCTCAAACATTGTTTTTTTGAGGCATTTGGCAATATTTACGTTTTGTTTTTTATGATTAACAGTGAAACGAATGAATGTTTTCGACGAAACTTCGCTCAACTAAATGGCATGGTCCTCTCTTTCCGGAGGTGCATGGGGAACAGCGGAGCTTTGGTTGCCGACTGGACGCCTCAAATGGGGGAGGGGGGGGGGGGGGGGCAAATGGCTAATACTGTATTTACTCGAGTAATAGCCTCACTATTTATGAGCAACGCCCTCCCTTCTACTTACCCACAGAACACATATACAGCCAATTATTGGGTTGTGAATCAATAATAGAGCAAATAACCAGATGGAGAACACGATTCTCCATACAAGTGCAATCTTCACAAAAGGTATCTTCGTACGAAAACATTATCTCTGTCTTGTAAACAGCTGGAATCAGGCTGTCGATCGCGATGATTGGCAATCTGCGTGCTCTGTGGAAAAGCGAACCCTCAGGTTTTCTTCATAAACAGTGCGGCCATTACTCGGGTAATTATGGTAGTTTTGTAATTAGCAGCCGCATACTGTCGCAGCGAAGCGACGTGAACGCAGGAAGGGGGGGGGGGGGGGGGGTTAACAGCCTCTCAGTGATACACGCTTTGTCCAGCGTGAGCTCTCCGCGTGGTATGTATAGCCACTTCTGGTCAAGGTGCACGATGTCGTGCGTATAGCCTTATACCCGTGCCACACGGGCAACTCGAATGCCATTTACAACGAATGACATTTGAACGGTCGGCCAATTGGCGCTCGACACTCCGAGCGTAGGGCATTCCACGTGCAACAGATCGCGCGCCGATTCGTAAATTACGCGAATGTCATTCATTGTAAATGGCATTCGAGTTGCCCGTGTGGCACGGATATTAGCCATTCGATTTCCATCTCTTGAGGCGTTCCGCCGCAGCTTCCGAGAGGAGTTCCTGGCACCGGGGTACAAGTCCCGAGTCCAGCGGGAAATCGAGTGTTGCACACAGAACCCAGAAGAAGGCCTTGTGAAGTATATTAGAGTCATCCAGGAACTGCTCAACCGAGCAGTGCAAGCTGCTCTCGAGTCACAGAGAGTTACTCGCATTGTTCGTCAGTCACCCCTGTTGCAACATGTGTCTTCATGGGTCCAACTACGACACCATTGAAGACCTCGTGTAGGAAACCATCACGGCTTGAGTGGACTACAGGCCTCCCGCCCCCAGCTGCAGAAGCCTCCGAGCCGTCCTGTGCGTGGGTAGCCCCCACATGCGTCGACCAAGAACGAGCAACTCCGACTCGACACCTTCCTGAAAGGGTCTGTGGCGGTCTCGCCTACTTGCCCCTCGCCCTGAACCCCCTTGACTGTCGTCGGGAGGTCCAATGTTTTTACAACAAGCTGGGTTGTCGAGAGTCTAAATTCCCGATCCAGGGAAGCCCCAGGCAGCTGGGATTGCCCCCCCCCCCCCTCCTCCTTCCAGGGCGCGCACCAGAGCGAAATTTTGCTGCAGGTGCTGCAGACCTTCTCAAGCGGCCGGCTGCAGTCCCCCCACGGTGAAAGCCGGCTGCCTAACCGTCTTCGAGATCATTGACAAATGCCCCAGCTTGGGCCGAGAGGTGGCTGGCGATGAGGGAATGAGCCAGTGGAGCTGAGAGGCAGCGGCCAGTGTTGGAGAGACTGGGGTAACATGGGAAATAGAGCGGCAGAAGGCCGTTGGCAGCCCAGTTCCTGCTACAACTAAGGACAACGTGGCCATTCTCGCAGCCAATGCCTGCACTGGTGGTGCCGGGGCCAGAGGAACCAGGGAAACCAACAGTGCCCGCGACGCTGAACTTGGAGATCTCGCTGCTGCCGGCCCAAGCTGGCGGCAGCGAGTTCCAGCCTCGGGATAAGCGATTCGCCAGCACTTCTCTCGCCTGTGTCGCTTACGACCTAGAGATCAATGCATCGAGCCTCACATGACAAATTTGTCTACTTGCTGTTCCCTTTGCCACCCCCTTGATAACGAAGCAGAAAGTTTGCTTATTGGAGAATTTTTTGAGCTGTGCAAAACAAAAAAAAAAAAAGAACCGCTTTATTTTTAGAATACACTTCTGCAGTGCACTGCAAGGTTCGGCATTCTATTCTACGAAGAGGCACGCTAGCATTTTTTCTCATCTGCCAGGATTGAACGTGCCAATTACCATTTGGTGGAGATTTTATTGCAGGCGAAAAACTTTTGCTCGACTTTGATGTTGGCAGCTATTGGCTGGATGGACATTCAGCTGGACGTGACCCCCTTCACCAGGCGAGAGGATTGCATTATCAGTGCAACTCTCCCGGCTCTCTGTACAACAGGGCCTGCTGCAGCCTTTCCTGCCGGTGTCTGAGACGCCCTGCAGGTGCGTCCAGCATCCAGGAAACAAAAGCAACAGCTAGAGAGCATCTTGCAGCCATTTCCACCAATGTACTACACGGAAGCTCTGGGAAAGACTGATGTGCTGCTGCATTGAATCGAGACTGGCGACGCTCGACCATCTGCGGTGCAACCCAAAGCCCCTCATCGTCCATGTAAGAGCTCTCCTGAATGCAGCACTGCAGGAGTGGATCGACACCAGAGCTGTTTGCAACTCCCAGAGTCGTTGGGCTTCTCCCGTCGCAGCCTCAACGCTGTAACGGTGAGAGATTCATACCAGTTTCCCTTGGTTGACTCAATCACGTTCGCGATCGACAACACGAAAGTGTTCACAACGCTTGACTGCAGTCTAGCATAACCGAGATAGACCCAGAGGAGGTTTCGACAACCGCTTTTACCTATCACAAGAGAGTGTTCCAGCCTTTCAAATTTGCCCGATACCTTTCAACATCGAATGGTCATTGGTGTCTACGATACAAAGAGCAAGTTTGTGATGGCGTACATGAATGACTTCATTTTCCCCAATCTTTCAAGAAATACCTCAAGCATCTTAGGATTCTCCTCGAGCAAGTGCAATCTGCCAACTTGACGGTTCACCCTGAAAAGAAAATGAACCTTGCCTTTGATGTTGTT